GTTAGGTTTTGTTGTATGTTTCAGATGTCAAATCCACTAGAGGGTGCTGTGTATGTTTTTGCTAATCTGAAATATGTTACTTCAGGTATGCTTTGTCGTATGTTTCAGATGACAAACCCACTAAAGAGCATTGTATACATTTTTACAAATCTAAAATACATCACTTTTACATTTCATTGTACCTTTCTGATGGCAAATCCACTAGAGGGCGCTGTCTACACTCATGTGAATCTAAAATATGTCATTAAGGGTAAGTTTTGTTGTACGTTTCAGATGACAAATCCACTAGAGGACGCTGTCAACATTTTTACGAATCTGAAACATGTTACTTAGGGTACGTTGTGTTGTATGTTCAGATGACAAATCCACTAGAGGGCGCTGTCTACATTCATGTGAATCTAAAATATGTCATTTAGGGTACGTTTTGTTGTACGTTTCAAATAACAAATACACTAGAGGCTGCTGTCTACATTTATATAAATCTAAAATACCTTATCTAGAGTACATTGTGGTGTACATTTCAGATGACCAATCCACTAGAGGGCGCTGTCAACATTTTTAATAATCTGAATTATGCTACTTTGAGTATGTTTAGTTGTACGCTTCAGATGGTAAATCCACTATGTGGATGTAATGTGTTTAGTGGTTAGAACGTTGCAGGTCTCGTGTTTCATCCATCCATCGGTCCTCTTACTGTGCGACCGTCTTTCCCATCTCTGACGTGTTAGACAGAAGTGCTGTTAATTGAGTTAATCACACTCTAGAAAAACTCTCCTGCTTTCTCACGCACCACAGACTCCACAACCAACAGCTGAGCTCTCACTCAAACAAAGAGAAGTGGGACACGTCCAGAAAACCACAGATCAGTGACGCTGTACTGACAACACAGACACTACACTACAAAGTCAGCTTCTGACTTCATTCACTCACGCCCCAGCTAGAGCACGCTTTCTGAGGGGTCTCAACTTGTTGTTATGTGGTTGCCTGGGTGTGATGGGGGAATTTTTAGGGGGTTGCTATATGTGACTGCCGATGTGTTTTAGGTGGTTCAGATGTTGCTATGTGGTTGCCAGGTTGTTGTGAGTGGTTTGTAGGTCATTGCAATGTCGTTGCTGAGGTAGTTAGAATGTTGCTATGTGGTTGCCAGGTTGTTTTGAGTGGGTTAAAGGTCATTGCTATGTGGTTGCCGAGGTGATCATGGGTGGCTTGTAGGGAGTCAAGATTAAATTGTTGTGTGTTGTTATGTGGTTGCCAAGGTGTTATGGGGGGATTTTTTAGGGTGTTGCTATGTGACTGCCTATGTGTTATAGGTGGTTCGGGTGTTGCTATGTGGTTGCCAGGTTGGTGTGAGGGGTTTGTAGATCGTTGCTTTGTGGTTGCCGAGGTGAATATGGGTGGCTTGTAGGGTGTTAAGATTAAATTGTTAAGCGTTGTTATGTGGTTGCCAGGGTGTTAAGGGGGGATTTTTTAGGGTGTTGCTATGTGACTGCCTATGTGTTATAGGTGGTTCGGTGTTGCTATGTGGTTGCCAGGTTGATGTGAGGGGTTTATAGATCATTGTTTGTGGTTGCCGAGGTGTAATGGGTGGTTAAGATGTTGCTATGTGGTCGCCAGGTTGTTACAAATGGGTTGTAAGTCATTACAATGTGGTTGCCAAGGTGATCATGGGTGGCTTGTAGGGTGTTAAGATTAAATTGTTGTGCATTGTTATGTGGTTGCCAGGGTGTTATGGGGGGATTTTTTAGGGTGTTGCTGTGTGACTGCCTATATGTTATAGGTGGTTCAGGTGTTGCTATGTGGTTGCCAGATTGTTGTGAGGGGTTTGTAGATCATTGCTTTGTGGTTGCCGGGGTGATTATGGGTGGCTAGTAGGGTGTTAAGATTAAATTGTTGTGCATTGTTATGTGGTTGCCAGGGTGTTAAGGGGGGATTTTTTAGGGTGTTGCAATGTGACTGCCTATGTGTTATAGGTGGTTCGGGTGTTGCTATGTGGTTGCCAGGTTGATGTGAGGGGTTTGTAGATCATTGTTTTGCGGTTGCCGAGGTGTAATGGGTGGTTAAGATGTTGCTATGTGGTTGCCAGGTTGTTGCAAATGGGTTGTAAGTCATTACAATGTGGTTGCCGAGGTGATATGGATGGTTTGTAATGCATAGCTTTCTGTTAGTTAGGGTGTTATGATTAGATTGTACATTATTGCTATGAGGTTGCCAGGAAGATATGGGTGGTTTGTAGGGTTGTTCTATGTGGTTGCCAGGGTCTTTTGGGTGGTTTGCCAACTATTACTATTTGGTTGCTTGGGTTTTATGGGAGGTTTGTAAAACATCGCTTTGTGGTTGCTAGGGTGTTATAGGTAGTGTATAGGGGTTGCTATGTGGTTGCTGAGGTCTCATGGGTGGTTAGGATGTTGCTATGTGGTTGCCAGGTTGTTGTGAATATATTGTAAGCTATTGCAATGTGGTTACCAAGGTGCTATGGGTGGCTTGTAGGG